TTTTGACTTTCACAGAGCTGCGTTCTAAGAGGACATTTGACTCTTGTCTTACTTTTGTTGTTGGAACCAACATCTGGGAAGCGGAATATTCATTCTTGTTGTTTTGCATTTGTCTAGTTTGGAGGTCAAAGGATAACTTGCAGGAGTTAGTTCTCTCCTTCCACTTTGTGACCCCGGGGATCGAGTTCAACTAGTCAGGTTTGTCGGCAAGCACCTTTACCTGCCAAGCCATCTCACTGGTCCAGGAGGAATCGTTTATGGTTTGAGAAGTCTCGGTCCATTGCGGTGGAGTGGAACAGCTCACATCGTGGAAGGCCAGAAGCATAGTGGGGCAGTTGATAGGAGGGACCAGAGCGGGATGGAGCCCACAAGGGTGCATTCTCAGCCGCCTTAATCCACCGATGGATGGAACCATCTGTTAGGTCAGAGTCCTCATGAGACAAGCCTCTCCAGGAACTGTTGACGGACACTCCGAGCTGTGCTTTACTGAAGAAGCACCTCTCACTCCAGTCAAGCTGTCAAAGAAGATTAACCATGATAACTCTTGGAAAAGAAAAAAAAACTTAAATAATAAAGACATAAGCAAATTCATCTCAGAAAGAAATGGAGTGTTTTCTGGGTGGTGGTGGCACACATCTTTATTTCCAGCACTTGGGAGGCAAAGGCAGGTGGATCTCTGTGAGATGGAGGCCAGTCTGGTCTACAGAGTGAGTTCCAGGGCAGTCAAAGCTACACAGGGAAACCTTGTCTCAAAAAACAACAAATAAAACCAAAAACAAATTAAGAAGTGTAACGCTTACCATAGTAGAAAGTAACTGTTAATTCGGATATAAGGGAGATCTAAGCTTAAATCAGAGGCGCTGCAGAAAGTTCTAGAGTGGATGAAGGCCGTAGCAGCATCAAAGAGACTTTCCCTTTGGAGCAGAGGAGGGTACTGCCGGCCGGTGAGCAACCTTCTCCTTCGCCATTTAGAGTGGCTGACCCTGCACCTCGCCGAAGGGACGTTTGTGAGGAGCAGTGGGTTCTGCCTCAAAAGATGTCACTTAAGAGTCATGACCTGAGTCAGGCGGTGGTGGCACACGCCTTTAATCCCAGCACTCGGGAGGCAGAGGCAGGCGAATCTCTGTGAGTTCAAGGCCAGCCTGGGCTACAGAGTGAGTTTCAGGACAGGCTCCAAAGCTACACAGAAAAACCCTGTCTCAAAAAAAAGTCATGACCTGTTTCTCCCAGACACCCAGGCTTCATACACGGGGGTGTGATTGACAGTCTTGCCATCATGCTGGGGTGTCCACAGGGACACAATGTGGAAGTGTTTCTTCATGCCAGGTGGAGTTGGCACACATCTCTAATCCCAGGACTCAGGATTTAAAAGTATTCAATTTTTTCTCATGTTCCCCTTTTTCATTTTACCTACACACAGAAATATCCCAAACCTTTGGGTATTTTCAGTTCTTAACCAGAGTCATTTGGAAAATTGTCAAGTTTTTCTTTAAGGAATTTAGAAAAGATATCGGGCGGTGGTGGCACACGTGAATTGAAGGATTGAGTCTGGAACTTCGGGTGTGAGCTGGACTCCATGGAGGATGCATGTTCTATATTATGATGGACTGCGTTGATTGTCTTATTGTGGAAGCAGAGAGGGATACCGGCATTTAGTAGATGGGTCCAGGGGTGACAGATATTACCTGTTCCTTCCAATAGATGTCCAGAATCAAGTTCCAACTTATAAGTCTCCCTCCATATTTCTTCTTTCTTCCCTCCTTTTTAATATTTGTGTTTATTTCATTCACTGTCATATCTCAGTGGCTACACCTATGACTAGAATTCAATAGCTTAAAATTTGTGTGTGTAAGGATCTCCCTGGGAAAGGGGAAATAGAATAGATTTCTCTGGTGGACTGGAAGTGGGTGGGGTTGGGAACAGGAGGGATCAGATGTGTGTGTGTTGGGGGCAGGGAGAAAATACTGGGAGAAACACCTGGAATTGGGGGCATTTCGGGGGCGAGGCAGAAATCTAGTGCAAAGAAAACTCCATGGAATCTGAAAGAGTAACTTTAGCAAAGATTCCTAGTAATGGGGGACACGGAGTCTGAACTGGTCATCTTTTGTAACCAGGCAAGGCCTCAAGTGGCGGGATTAGGACCAACCCAGCCACCAAACCTTCAGCCTGGGACCAGAGTCTAGCAGAATCCTCTTCAGAGACCAGAGAGACTTCATCCAGCAATTGATGAGAGCAGATGCAAAGTCCCCTAGCCAAATATTAGGCAGAGCTCGGGGAATCCTGCGGAGGAGGGGGAGGAAGGACCAGAGGAATAAGATGGATCAGAGACACCAGGAGAACATGGTTCACAGAATCAATTGACCAGGACTCATGGGGGCTTGCAGATATCAGGGAGCCTGTAGGGGTCCGACCTAGGTCCTCTGCACATGTGTCATAGCTGAGCAGCTTGGTGTTCTTATGCGACTCTCACAGTGGGAGCAGCGGCTGTCTCTGACGCTTGCCTGTCTGTGGGACTCACACTGTGCTGCCTCTTACAGCCTTGATGAGATGGTACGTGTCTGGTCTATTGTAGCTTGTCATGACTGTTTGGTTGACATCCCTGGGAGGCCTGCTCTTTTCTGAGAGGAGGCCGAGGAAGGGTGGACCTGGGGGAGAAGGGAGGTAGAGGGAGGGAAACTGCAGTCAGGATGTAATAAATGAGAGACTAAAACATTTCACTTTACATTAAAAATTTGTGTGTCATGTGTAGTAGCCCAAATCACAACTGTATGGCTCAAGAGATTTTCAGCAAATAACTGCAAGGCCACTATTCAGATAAAACAACAACAAAAAAACCCGTGTTTATACAACGTGTGGGAGGGCATGTGTGTGTCACAGGAGTATGTGGAGGTCAGAGGACCATCTCAGGCATCCATCTTCACCTTGAGAGAGGGTCTCTCTGGTTCACTGCTGCATGTGCCAGCCTAGCTAGCCTTTCTTAAAATTCTGTCTCTGCCTCCTGCCTCATAGGAGTTCTGGGGTCACAGGCACATGCTTCTGCACCGACTTTATGTGGGATCTGGGGACTTGAAATCAGGTCCTCACTCTGGGGTCACAGGTACATGTTACTGCACCAACTTTATGTGGGATCTGGGGACTTGAACTCAGGGCCTCACTCTTGCACAGTGAGAGTTTTGCCTGCCAAGTCACCTTGCCAGCACTTACTGTCTAAATTAACAGGTGCAATCCTTACTCTCCTATTTGGTTTATGACTTCTTAACTGGTAGAAATGGTTTGTGTAGTAGGACTTTATCAGTGAGGGCCAAATCAAAGCCACAGCAGTAATTTAAGCAGAGAAAATTAAATAAAAAAAAAAACTAACTAATAAAAAATGGGTAATTACCCAATGAGTACAAGAGGACTCTAAGGCCTTCTGTAAAGGGCCACGTCGTATTTTGGGCTTTGTGGGCAAGAGTCATGGCCAAGGATATCACAGACTACAACACAAACATCCACAACATTTTATTGATGAAATCCAAGATAAAATGAATGCATGTTTCTAAAAACTGTATTATGCTTATCTATTGTGTTGAGGGTACAGGGTGTAGGTGCATGTCACATGTGGAGGTCAGAGAACAACTTGGGGGACCTGGTTCTCATCCACCCACCAATGCGGGACCCAGGGATTGACCTCAGGTCCTCAGGCTTGGCACCAAATGCTTTCACCCACTGAGCCATCCGCCAGGCCCACAAGCACATGCTTTGAAATACATTTCAATGACGACATCTCCACTTTGTATCGTTGAGATTCAAATACAAGAACCATTGCCAGCTCAAGAGTCACAAGCAGGTGGCTGGCTGTGACCTGCAGGGTGGCGGTTGGCTGGCCTGGGGCTCCACGGGTGGGGCTGAGGGGGTACAACGGGTGGGGGAGGCTGAGGGTCCTCTCCACAACCGCTGAGATTTATTAGACTCTGCAGCTAGAACTGAGCCAGAGTCCACCAACAAAGACATTTGCCGAGGCCCACAGGCTACAGGTAGGACACGCCCCAACACCTCCCCATCTTTGTTACCAAGAAAAGGGCAAGCCAGGGAAAGGGGAAGAAAGCCCCTGGTCCTGCCTCTACTATACAATGACCTTCTAGTGCCATCTGCTGGAGGAGACTAAAAGGCCAAGTAGTGAAACCAGACTAGTGTGGAAGTCCTGTTTTAACAGGTAATAATTGGATAACTCCGGTAGGGACGCTAACAGTGATAAAGGTGGTTTTCCCACTCTGCTTCTTGCCTTTACAAATATCTCCTGGAAAAGGCTCATATGAAACAACATTCTGAATAAAAATAAAATAATAAAAACAGCACATTGCAGGAGCTGGCTCTCTCCTTTTACAGTGTGGGTCCCAGGGTTCAAACTCAGGTAAGCCAGGCTTAGTGGCAAGCCCCTTTACCCTCTCACTCGCCCCGTGAAGGTTAGTCGACTCCTCACTGTCCTCTACCCACCCAGTACTTGTGTCCTGAGCCCATCCTACCAGATACTCTGTGTCTTTCTGTGTGTGTGTGTGTGTGTGTGTGTGTGTGTCTAATGCTTACTGTCAAGATTCTAATTTTTGTAGATTTTAGAGCAAAATCTTCTGCTTCACACAAATTCAAAATGTTTTGGCAAGTACATCTATTACCTTTTCTTGTTTAATAGCATCTGGCGAATGTATCTTGAACAAAAAAAACCAGTTCTCTCTTGGCTGGGCCTGGCTGTGAATGCCTTCAATCCCAGATATTCTTGCCATGACTGCTTCACACAGCACATGCAGATCTCTGCTCACCATATACCTTGGTGAATGCTAGGTAACCCTGCAGCCAATTTGACTCCGCCTATGGGTGGCAGGGCACTTCCCTTGGTGGCCTGTCAGAAGAAGGCTTGTGATTGGGGATGAGATGTAGCTCAGCGAGAGAACTCTTGCCTAGCATGCCCAAGACTGCGGGGTGGGGGTAGGGGGTGGAGGGGTGGGGGGTGTGTGTATGCGACTTGACTGGTGTAGATCACAACCCTCTCGTCTTCTTTTGCTCTCTATCACTAGCAGAGGGGCTGAGTGGTGACGAGAAGAGGGAGTGGATGACAGGAGTAGCTTCTAAATGGTGGCAATGGCGAAGGTGGCAGCAGGTATTGCCCCCGTGGTTTCCATGGTAGCAACAATGGTAAGAAAATGGCTGAATTTTCCAGAGTGTCCAGGGGCAGAAACAATAGGGAGTAGAGGTACTGGAGACAACAACGAGCCACAGAACGGAAAGTGAGCCCTGGTCAGGGAGATGTCAGCCATCTGAACGCTCCACACCAGTAGAGTAAATGGACCATGGCAGAAGACTGACATCTAATTGCTTTGAGGTATTTGATCCACCCTTACCAATAGAACCAAGTTGTTGACTTTTGGGACCCCAAATGCCCAAACATCAGTCGCAACTGCCCAAGATGGCTTCATCCCACAAATCCCTCTCCTCTGGCTCCTTCTTCTCTCTGTGGGACTGGCGCCTGCTTCTGGTGGGGTCTCTTCCATCGTGGCGGGTCCTCTTTCTGGGCTTGGACTTCTCAGTTCCCGCTGGCTCTGGGGAGGCCTTCCTTCTGCTGGGGCCTCTGTCTTCTTTGTGGGAAGCCCTCTCTCTGTGGTGTTTCCTCTTGGGCGTCCTTTGCTCCACACTGGTGGCTCCTTCCCACTCTTGGTGACGGGGCCTTTCCTTTCCATCTTGACTGACTGGCTGGTTTTTCTGATGATGTTTTAGAGATTCCAGTCTTCGTCTGCAGTGAGGTACCAGGTTTTCCACTGTCGGCCTTTCATAGGAAGTAGAGGATCTGGGGTGTTTTCTGGATGAGAGAGGTGGCCCCAGCATCGGAGCTCCCGGGCTGACACAGTCTCTTTCTTGGTGAAAAGATTCCTCTGCCGTATTTCTGAAATAGATCCTTGGATGTAATCCTCTGGCTCTCTGCTTTCTAATGAAATCTTCAAGCTCATGTTGAAAAGAGTCATTGGTCTGACGCTTTTCCATTGCACTGACCATGAATGGATTTCTCTAGAAAAAAATGGGAGAAGACCTTCTGTTAATGAATCATATTGCTGAAGATATTTTCTCTGTCCTAAGAGAGTGTTATGCTATATATTGTACAGTAAATAGTAAGTAGTCACTGATGTTGGACATGAGTACTTCTGACATACTGGGGATGGGAAAGTATAATGGGGGAGGAAAATGATTGCTCATTTGTCTTGTTTTAAAAAATTTGACTATGTGTATGTGAGTATGGGTTTGTACACAGTGCCCACAAGGCCAATGGTGTCAGATGCTCCTGGGGCTGACAGGTGGTTGTGAGCTACCTTATGTATGTTGGGAACCAAACTCTCCTCAAGCAGTACATCCTCTTAACTGCTGAGCCATTTCTTAAGCCTGCTTTTTTTCGTTTTTGACATGGTGACTTGGTCCTACTAAGTAGCCTTAGCTGGCCTAGAACTCACTCTGTAGAACAAGCTGGCTTCAAACTTGTGTTCCTATGTCTCTGCCTCCGGAGAGCTGGGATTATAAGTATCTTTCAAAGCTGGTGGGAAATGAGTCTTAAATCACTGCAAATGTTCGGATCTATATGTAATCCATAGCGAGTATTGTAATGTAATACATAGTGTGTGTGTGTGTGTGTGTGTGTGTGTCCACTTGACTGTGCATTCATTTGTGTGAACTGCATATGTATGTGCAGGCTAGAAGCTAAGCTCAGTATTATTATTATTATTATTATTATTATTATTATTATTATTATTATTATTTGGTTTTTTGTTTTTTTTTTTTTGGTTTTTCGAGACAGGGTTTCTCTGTGTAGCTTTGTGCCTCTCCTGGAACTCACTTGGTAGCCCAGACTGGCCTCGAACTCACAGAGATCCGCCTGGCTCTGCCTCCCGAGTGCTGGGATTAAAGGCGTGCACCACCACCGCCCGGCCTATTTTTTGGTTTTTTGAGACAGGGTTTCTTTGTGCAGTTTTGTGCCTTTCCTGGAACTTGCTTTGTAGACCAGGCTGGCCTCGCACTCACAGAGATCCGCCTGCCTCTGCCTCCTGAGTGCTGGGATTAAAGACGTGCACCACCACCGCCCGGCTGCTCAGTATTATTCTTCAGAAGCCTGGTTTTTTGAGACAGGGTCTCTCGTTGGGACCCAGGGCCTGCCCATTAGGGTAGGATGACTGGCGAGTGACACCCTGGGATCTCCTGTCTCCTCTTCAGCACTGGGGTTACACATTCGCCACAATGTCTCCCGAGGGTGCCTGAGATCAAACTTGGTCCTCTGCATGTTTGCCCTGCAAGTATTCTTTGGACTGAGCCACCACCGTGCTCAAGGGTAGCATACACTAATGGGTAGAAGATTTATCAGTGGTTGAGACAGGTTTAAAAATCAGATAATTTGGGCTGGAGAGATGGTTCAGCAGTTGAAATCACTGGCTGCTTTTACAGAGGATTGTTGGGAACCCAGCACCCACATGGTAGCTCACACCATCTGTAACTCTAGTTCCAGGAAACTTCTAGTTCCTGTGACCCTTCCTGGCCTCTGTAGGCGCTGCATGCAGACGGTACAGAGACAGGCACTCCAGCACACACATATACACAAAATAAAAATAATTCTTTTAAAAAATCAGGTAATTTTAGACCTTTTCTCTACCATAAATACTATTCCATGTATAAGACTAAGACATTTAAAGAAGAAAACAAAAAGAGAAAACCATGTAATTAAAGGAAGCTGAAATTAAGCTGGGCATGTGGTTGCAGACCGTTAGTCCCAGCACTTGAGAGGCAGAGGCAAGTGATCTTCATAAATTTGAGGCCAACCTGGTCTACACAGCAAATTCCAGACCAGCCAATGCTACATAATGAGATCCTGTTTTAAAACAAACAAACAAACAAACAAAAGTGCTAGCATGAGGACAGCTACATTCAATGGGCCACTGGGGGCCTGCTCTGAAAACCTGACTTCATTTCACTGTATGGCTTTCCTTCCGTTTAGCTAAGGTAACTGTTAGTTCTAACAAAAAGCCTGCTGTTGTGACGGTACCTATCACACAATCCAGTCCCTGCTATTCTACCCTCTGGGCTAATTGTTGCTCTATTATAAATAGAATTATAAATGCAACTAAGTGTGAAGTCAGATTTGTCATGCTGGCTTCTTTCTTCATATATATATATATATATATATATATATATATATATATATATATATAGTCACGTGCTACATACCATTTTAGTCAAGGACAGAATCACATACAATGGTGGTCCCGTAAGACGGTGAGCTGGCTCAGCAGGCCAAGGCACTTGTGGACCGGTCTGATGACAGCAGTTCAGTACCTGGGACCTACCAACTGTCCCCTGACCGTCACATGCCTTGTGGCATCTGTGCAAGCACACACACACAAGTGTCTTAGCTGGAGCACAAGCACTCTGGTCACATAGCATTTCTCGATATATCGTCCTCATTGATAAGCAATGCACACCTATGCTGAGAACCGTTTCCTATTTCTACTTCATAATGGATGTATATAACTAAGGGAGCTGCCTGGCATGCTGGAACAGCTTTGGAATGTGGTTTTATTTTTAACCAAATCTCTACGTTTAGGTTATTTGTGGTTTTTAGGTCTCACTAATGCAGTGTTCTGGATACACAGTGTGCCATGGATATAGCCAGGCTCTGGGGCCACGGCCCCCATACTTGGGAAGGCCCGACAGCCTAATTCTAAAGCAGATAAAGCTGAAGTTCCCACCAGGGACTTAAGTCTTTCTCCCTTCCCACTGCTTTTCCCTGCCCTCCCTCCCTTCTCTGTGAGAAAGGGTCTCATGTAGACCAGGCTGGCCTGGAACACTCTGTACTCAAACCCTAGCCTCTGCCTCTCAAGTCCTAAAGGTATGTGCCACCACCCGGTCCGGTTTATGTGGTGCTGGAGGGCAAACCAGGGTTTCCTGCTCACTACCAACTGAGCTACATCCCCAGCCTTGGGTTTTCTTTTTCCTGTGGAGAGATTTAAATTGAGTTCAGGTTCTGTTGAGGTGAAATGATTTTCACCCGTCTCAAGTTGTTTCTTCAATATGGAAAGACGAAGAGCAAACTTCTGGCAGAAAAATCCTTTGTCAGTAATGGAAAGGTAGTTAACACCCTGGTCTATAGTAAGAAAAGTGCCAGGGAGAAAAGACTGTCCACCCACAGGGAGGTGCTCCGAAAGCCCGGGTGTGGCTGGGTTTCACTTCCTGATCCTAGCTCAGCCTCTTGGAACAGGCCACACTCCTTCAAGATGTGACTTGTGCTCTTGTGTCACATACTCATGTGTCAACCTGCTTGACAGTCTTGTTTGTAGTACCTCAGCTCCTGACGTGGGAGGGCCCCGTGGTGAGTCAAGCAGGCATTTTATGGTGTGTTTCTGCATGGAGTTCCTCCGAGCCAGGGACGAGGCTTGGCCCTGAGCACACACCAGAGCTTCCAGTTTTGTATGATGATATGGACAATAAATAATCTTTGACCCCACCCCAAAATGCCAAACAAGGGCTGGGGGTGCAGCTCAGTAGGATGTAGGAGGGTCATATTGAATCTCCAGAACTGTTGTAGCAATTTAGCAGAGTCACTGTATCCGGAGTAGATACTACAAGGAACAACCGTTTTTCTAGAAGTGCTTTGACTTTGAAGAATCCTTGTGGAAAATGGTGATTGTTTTGCTGAAGGGGCTTTGCAGCCATTCCATGACTTTGGTCACAAGCCACCTGAGGCACACCTGAGGCTCTTGTATTGTTGTGTACTGCAAACGACACATAATAAAGGACTAGAGCCATGGGGGCGTGGGAGGCTCTCCTTTAGTGAGACCTGTAAATTAGATTACGGACCTTGATATGAGGAAATACTTTGTGTAACTCTCAATAAATATGCCTTTGTATGGCTATTTGGGGTTCAGTCCATCAGACGAGGCTGGACCTTCCTGCTGCCACACGGGCCTTACGATTTCATCTTGGAGTCCCTTCTTTCTTCAACCGACCCAGGCTATACTGTGCTCCTGGACACGGCACTCCCTCCCCAGGTGAAGCAATCCCGATAACAGGAAAGGCCCCAGGCTGCTTTACTGGGAAGAGGAGAGGAGATAAGGGACAGCAGACACTGGATAGAGTGACTGTGCCCACTTCTTTCCCTACTAATGACCTTCTTTAAAAACGGCTTAGACATTGGCAGAAAATAAAGACACCTCAGCTTCACCAAGTCTGGCCTGTCTACCTACTCAGCATCCAGTAGTTTACCTGCTGCCCTCCATTTTGTAAATCTGTAATTCAACCCCCGCCCCCAATTTGTTTTATTGCATCCATTCGTATTTTGTGTGGGTATGTATATACAGGGGAGGCATACATACGCTATGGCACATGAGTGATCAGAGGGACTGTGGGGAGTTGGTTCTTTCCTTCTACCGCGTAGGACCAAACTCAGGTCACCAGCCTCGGCAGTGAGAGCCTTTACTCTCTGAGCCACCGGCACACCCCTTTAAAATCGGGCTTGGGCAGGGCAGTGGTGGCGCACACCTTTAATCCCAGCACTTGGGAGGCAGAGGCAGGCGGATCTCTGTGAGTTCGAGGCCAGCCTGGTCTACAGAGGGAGTTCAGAACAGGCTCCAAAGCTACACAGAGAAACCCTGTCTCAAGAAAATAAAAGAAAAAAGAAAATTGGGCTTGGACTGGATCACTTTACCTCCACTGGGCTTACGGGATTCCAGGCTCATGTAACCACACCCTTAGTGGTCCTTCTACTTTGACCCATCTAGAAGCCAATTTTCCAAGAAGAAAACAGAAAAGATTTGAGATTCATCTGATCATGTCATCACCAGCCAAAACCCCCGTGTTTCTCTTTGGTTTAAGTGATACTTAAAGTCGAGGGGCCATCCACTTTGAGTCTCTACTTATCCACAGTATTTATCATTTTCACCCTATTTATGATCCAGGCTTCTTCTTACTGACCATAAAACATGAACTGGGGTTGTCAGGAATTCCTATCC